AGGATGTGCTCCACTCTCTCCTCCTCCCCCTTCATCTGCTCCCGTGTGCTCAAATCAGATATGTCCCTCTCCCAGAGCTGCAGATGCAATGCCGTCCTTTGAAATAAATTATTCTGGGGGGAGGGGCAGGTGTCCACTTAGTAGTCGGGATTGGGGCTTGCCCCCCAGACAGACTGCTTATATAACCTTTTTGAATTTAAAACACAATACCACAGGGGAACTGTGGCAAACCGAGGTGCTGGATGAGAATATAATGCAGCCAAACTGTCTATGTTCATAATTACAGGTCTGGAAAGCCGACTCCTGTGGGGGAAGACCCTCATGGTTATGAGATAAATAAATCTTAATACACATTCTCATGACTGAACACAGTCCCTGCAATAAGCCCCTCATAAAGGAATTGTCATAAAGGAGCTACCATAAAAGATGAATTATTCCTGCTTGTTCCCTAAACCTGAAGGTTATCTGTAGATAAGAGCAATCGGGTTCTACAGTCCAACCCACTGTAAGATGTAGCAAGCCCTCTTCTGACATCCCTTTCTGATGCTGATCATAGATTGCTCCCCTGGGGAGGACTCAGGGGTATTTGAGGTCAATTAGCACTAGGTCAAAACATGATTCACCTCATTGTCTGCTTATTATGTTACCCGCTTATGATATTACCCATTGACTATGTAATATGTTCGCTGTATGACATGTGTGACTCTTCAGAGATCTGTAGGCCCATTACATATACCATTTGAAAATACATTCACTCTCTTGGCATATACAGAGTACTTATAAATAGGATGAATGAATGAGTACTGATGGTCTGGTTATAGAAAGGTTTCCTTAGGAATTTGTATTCTTAAGATTGTCCCTTTACTACACCTCTCAAGTTTCTCCAAAAGGAAGTTCCAAAAAGCATTCTTTAAATATTTCAGATACGCTCACAGACACACAAAGGGCAATAAACTCTGAGCTGAATTGAATCACATCCAGATGTCTCAGTGAAAAGATAAAAAAACATAGCACAGTTCTTCTTCAAATAGGGCAGAACTTCTTAAACTTTTCCATTCGCGACCCCTTCTACCCAAGAAATTCGCAATACAGGCAAGTGCTGCCAGAACTTGGATCCATAAAGGATTTGATTAGAATGAATTTTTGGTCATTGTGCATTTAGAAACATTTTACTACTGCCAGTTTTTTTGAGACTCCACATTGAGTTACACGGCCCTATATAGGGTCTTGACATACAGTGTAAGAACCTTTGGAATGGTCACCACGTTGGCCCAGGCGGGTAGAGGACATGAACAGAAAGCTGCCAAAGTCTATCCAGGGGGACAAATGAATGAGAACAGGTAGGTAGGGCCAGTGGGGGTGGGGCAGAGAGTGCAGCGAGGTGGCCCAAGCCGTTCCAACACCAGTCACTCACTTTCTACCCCAGGTCCTCCCTGGGGCTTGTGTCTATGTGTGAGTATGTGCCTGGAGGTGCTGGAGCCAGAGTAACACGCAGGGTGGACAGTGCAGGGAGAGGTCAGTGCAGGAGAGACTCCGCCACCACTGACACGCTTGCACAGTGGAGAGGGCAGAATGTTGTGAAGAGAAGAAGGGGCTTAAAAGCTCAACTCAGTAGACTCTAGAGAATAGAGAGATAATCTATCTTGTCTGGCTCAGCCCTTTCTGGATGAATGGCTGAAGTCAACTTGCTGTATCTTTGTCCTGTGCCTGGAATTTTCTAGGGTCCTGGTTGGCTAGCTGTGCCGGGAAAAATCTACTGCATACCTGTCAGGGAAAAGATGATGTAAGGGTTCACAGGGGAATGTCCAAGGTGTTTTCAGAGACAGCCAGAGACCTTCATGGGCTGAATGATGCTTTTTGCTGAAAACCCACTGAGATCAGAGTGGGATGTCTTCTGTTCATGTCTTCAACAGCACACTGAATTATTTATGAAGGGTTGTGTAGGCTGTAGTGTATAGGCAGAGTGACTTTGTTTATCCTTTTACATGTGAAAGGGCAGAAACCATTGGTATCCCCAGCATTCACAAAATGTCTGCACAATTGCAGGTGCTAAGACGTGTTAGAGGTGGTAACTAAGGTGCAAACATCTCTGACAGCCAATCTCAGCAGGGGTTGACCATGCACGCTCAGAAGCCAGGCCAGAGACCAGTGGGGCTGTCTAGCCCAGAAATAGCGCTCGGCCATGCTTTAGGATGAGTCAACCGAAGCTCTTCTCTCATCTGCTTCTGAGCAAATGCTTCTGTCCTTGACACATTTACAAAGAGCAGCCTCCCCTCCACCTGTCTCTGCCAAACTGTAATTGTACCAGGATGTTGTGCGAGAATGCCTGATTTAAATAGGACCCCAGTGGAGTCAGGGGGCCAGCAGTGCCTTTTCCTACCTGTTAATGAAGCCTCATTAGAAACAGCAAGAGGCTGTGGCGAGAACAGAAGGCACCGGGCGGCTCTCCTGCCAAAGCACCATTAACTTAACGACTTACGGCAGCTGCTCTCTGAGATCACAGCGCCTGCATAACCTGGCGGCTCCTGGAGAGTTTGGAGCCTGTGCAAAGCCACTCCCCCCTCTTCCAATGGCTCCCACCGTCTGGAAAATGCACTGCCAGAGTTGGATTACCCAGTACGTAAGGTAAGCACAGGCTTCCTTGTGCTTATTTACTAATCTGTCATGAACAAATTCTCATATTTTCATCACATCAAAGATTCTGCTACTACATATGGCTGGCCCTTGTCTTTCTCCCAAACCCACAGCATCTTCCTACAGAATCAAAGCCTCAGTTCAGATGTACAATCCCTGCCAGGGACAAGGGCACCTCATGAGTAAGGTAAGCACAACTGAGCCCATGCTTACCTTGCTCAAGGGGTAGTCTGCCCCCCATTCAGACATCGAGGTGTCTGCTGTTGGGCTACCCTCACCCTTCAAGCTGGCAGCTGTGTCTGTTGGGGGGTTAGGCTTTGGCTGGAGGGCAACTAAATTAATAGTCAAAGCTCTGTGCAGGGCGCATGCGGGCTCCCCTTGCCAGCCACATGCATGGCTGCCTGGGAGACCCTGCTCTGGGCTTGCTGGCCGCCCACCCAGGGATCCTTCTCTGACATGCAGCGTGAGGTGCTGCCCTGCCAATTCCCCAGCCTCACACAGTACATTGAATTATGTAATAGTCTCATGCAAACTGCAAGTCAATACAATTCCTTTGATCCTGCAGGGCAGCCCAGCAGAGCCGCTTGGAGCAGTTCCAACCAGGAGACCCCATTTCTTGCCTGGCTTCTCTTTGAAGCTTCCTTAGGGGCAAAAAGGTTTCTTCTGTTTTCCTCCAACTTGGCTATTTGGAGGTGGCCCAGGTGTGCGGGTGCTTGAATGTGCTCCACCCCCCCACCCCCACCCCCACCCCCCAGCTGGATGAGCGGCTCATGAGGACAAAGGCTCGGCTTGGGTATCTGGTCTGTAATTCTGTGTGACAGGTGGGCTGACAGAAGCTGGAGGGCAGAATTAAGAGACTTCGGCTACCCACCCTCCCCCCTCTGCCATTCCCCCTCCTAGTTTTGGAAGCACTGAGAGCCTGTGGTAAGACACAGGTGCTGGTTTTGGTTTTGATCAGAAGGCAGGGGAGTCTCGAGTGGGTAGGTGGCAGATGCAGGAACTATATTTGGCTGGTTCAGACCCTGAGAGGGCTGGGGAAGGGACCCTGGAAGGGAATTCTGAGGCTGCCAGTGATGTAAGCAACCACAGTTTACTGAATCCCCACAGGCTTGAACTGAAGTCTCCTTTAAACTGAGTGAGAAGACCACTGCCAGTAGCAGGTGAAACGTGTGTGTGTGTGTGTGTGTGTACACGTGTGTACGTCAGTATGCATGCAGAGGACATTGAAGAGGCCCGAGCACTCTGGGATGCCTGTCATGATACATGTGGCAAAGCCCCACGCACGCTCACCCACTCTCCAGCAGGGGTGTGACTGTGGCCCTAAACTGGCAAAATGCCACCCCCACAGCGCTTGCCCACGCTGCGCATTTATGATGACAAATGAAGAACAGTGGGCCCGGATGGTGAGGCAGATGTCCTCAGACTCACGGACTTTTCCGGATGGCTCCTTCGGCGAAGGCCAGCCAGGGAAAGCGAGATGCATCTAGATCTGATTGTGATTTGAACAAGATGGGCAGACTGGAAACTGCGCTCAAAGCATTTATTTGGAAAGACTTGGGAGGTGGCTCACACAGCAGGCTCCTTAAATTAAGTCAGAAACACTCTATTCACTTCTGGAAAGATTGTGATGGTTTCTTAGCTGAAGTTGAGTCCCCAGAGGAATCCGCAAGGACTGAAATGAAGGTGTGGCTCCCCAAGCAGCTGCAGTGGCCACTTGGTGGGAAGGCAGCATTGTCATGAAAAGATCCTGTTTCTCCATCAGCTAAAAACAAAATGAAACAAAAAACCCCACCTGTGAGTCAGAGCAGCCAGGGATCACAATCCCTAATGTCACAATGGCATTAAAGGACAGGCGGCTGATTCCTGGAGAATGCACGTGGCTTTGGAATAAGACAGTCTTGGGGTTCACATTCCTGCTCCAGGGTTCTTAGCTGTGTGACCTTGGGGAAATGACAAAGGCTTTCAAGACTTTGCTTCCCTGACTATACAATGGGGATATTGTGCAGTCCTGGTAGAGTCTTGGGGAGAAATGGCAAATAGCAGGCACTCACTCAATAGAGCACCTACCGGTACATACTCAAAGTATATTTAGCCCAGCACACGACTTTCTGGGTTCATTTAAAATAGCTTTGTGTATTTATTCAGATGCACATCGGCATCTGAAACCTTCGCGTTGTTAGGAACATCTGGCTTTTATCATCAACAGAAATGAATCCAATAAAAAGCCAGTTGGAAAGGAGCTTGATGACATAGTTTCCCTTTGGAGGGAGGGAGGGGTTAGGTTGCTTCCATGTGGCTCTCTGGCCTTATCAAGAGAGAGCAATCCTGTCTTCTCTCCTGACTCATGAGGGGGTGGGAGGATAAGGTCAGACTGTTACTTGCATCTTTATCTCCCTGCGTGATCACTGAAGGATCCTCTAGTCCGAACCCTTGGCTCCTCCCCTGACTCACCAGGGGTTGGAGTATTAGAACACTAAGTTACCTTCTAGACTGATATTCAATGTATGCAATAGAAGGGACCATGGAACAATATTAAGATATAGAACTATGATAAATATCTGTGTGTGGATTTCTGGAAAGAGCAGGCACGGAAGTTAAGCCCCGATGCTGATGCATATGTTCTTGGAATCCGTACCCATGAAATAAGCAAGACACCCCACCCCTCCGCCCTCCAAACTGTACATACATATATATATCTATATATTAAAAACTGGCAAAACCTGTGGTTTGGCCAACTCAGCTGCCACTCAGAAACCCCTTGCCTTCTCCCAGTTTTGCTTCCTAGTGACCCTAAATGACAGGGTAGAACGGCCCCGGTGGGGCTGCAAGACTGTAACTCTTTACAGGAGTAGAAAGCCTCATCTTTTTCCTGCGGTGGTTTCTACTGCTGACCTTGCAGTTAGCAGCCCAGCTCAGCACCACATGCCACCAAAGCTCCTGCCCATGGGGAAAGCCAAGTGGTTGATTTCCTAGTCCCGCTTGCAGGTAGGTGTGGCCATGTGATCAAGTTCTGGTCAATGTCAAGCAGTCCTGGGGAGGCCTCCACACTCAAGAAAGGAGAGCAGTGCCTCAGGGAAAACCCCTCTTATCGGAAGCCTCTTCCCCTTGCGGCCACCAAGGAGCCTGTGCTGGCTGGAGCGGTGGCTGGCGTTTGGTAACCAAAGGGTGCTGGCAGGAAGACAAAATGTCAACATAGCACCAAGAGAAGAAGAAAGAGCCAGGGTCCTTTGTGAAATCATTGTACAGTCCTAGTCCATGTTTCCCCTGAGCCTCTTAATAAATATGGCGCATTCCCTCTGTACTCAGAGCTTGGTAACAACACAGGCTCTCCATTGACCTGAAAAACTTTCCCCCAAACCACAATTTAAAAGCAAAGCAAAACAAAACAGTAGGCTCTCAGGTTCCACCTTAGCAGAATATATATTTTGGAGAAGGGAATGCATATTAAAAATTTAGGAGCATGGATTTTTGCACCATTAATTGGAGGCCTGGTCCACGAGGTCAGCAGTTTGAAACCACCAGCTGCTCCACAGGAGAAAGGTGAGGCTCTCCTATACTGTATGCACAGTATGTGTGTCTGTGAATATGTATATTTGAACATACGTTGAAAAAGCCTGGGAGGACACAGCTAGTGTGTGTGTGTGTATGTGTGTGTGTGTGAGATCTTTTCTTTTTACCTTAATTGTTCATAGCAAAACAAAATTCTGACTCATGGCGACCCCACGCATGAAACTCAAAACCGCCCCATAGAGTTTTTGTGGCTGTCGCCTTTTGGAAGCAAGTCACCAGGCCTTTCTCCTGAGGTGCCTGAGAGGGTTCAAACAGCCAACCTCCCCCCAGAGAGTCTCCTAATATGCTGCAAAAGCAATTCTCGTGACAACTCTGCGTACGTATCCCTTTTATAATTCAGGAAGAAAACTCACTAGCGGTCCGCCTCCCTGTCCAGCAGGGCATGGCAGGCTGCGACCTCCTTCTGCAGCTGGCAATTGAGCGCCCGCAGCCTCTCCTGCTCCTCCCCGCGCAGCTCCGCCTCCGCACGGACCTCCCCGAGCTCCGCCTCCAGCCTGCCCACCACGGCGCCCAGGTTCTGCATCTCCATGTCGTGCCAGCGTTCGGCGTCGCGCAGGGTATTCTCCAGGCCTCGTTTCTACGAAAGAGCCAACACAGTCAGAGACCCGCGGGCTGCGGGCCCCGCGGTGATCAGGGAGGTGTGCGGGCAGCTGACACTGACCCCGCCCAGCACAGGGGCCTTGCCATGAAGTGGGGCTGACAGGGGCCACACGTGGCTGGCAGGGAGGGAGAATCTTGTGTCCTTAAGAGGCCAGGCTTTGTACTTAGAGTCTGACTCAGTGATCTTTGTGATGGGAGGAAGGGAGGATACTAGGGGTGGGAAGTGGTGATGGCGGAAACAAGTGAAAACGAGGCCGTTTGCAGGTGTTTCTTCAAAAGTCTGGCTCTCCAAGACCGCCTCTGGGCCTTTCCTGCCTTTAATTTCTCCAGGGCCTCTCTCTGCACTGCCGAAGTCTGTCATCATCCCGCCGACCCGCCGACGCCCCCAGCATCCCTCCCAGGGCAGTGCAGTTGGAAAATACACCCCAACTTCTAGGGAGAACCCAACTCTTCCTGCGGGGGCCCCGGAGACCCCATGCCAATCGCAGTCTCAGGCTGAGGCTGCTGCTCACTGGGTCTGACTGGGTTTTAGGGCTGACTCCTTTCCAGTGGCTTCTTGGGACTAGATCTCCCTGCTACTGAACTTCTTCCCGGACAGCCCACGGCCACTTCAGAGATGCCGGAGACAGAGCGGCCAGCTTCCTTGTCAACTTGCTGGCCCCTTCTAGCCTGTCTGCTGGTGAGCTCACCTGAGCTCTAACCTCTGTGAAGAAGCGTCCCTGGCTGCTGTCCTTGCCCAAATTCGATCGTTGCTGTATTTTCATCTATGTCTATTTGGCGACGTTTTTTGCCATCTGTCCCTTCTCTCTCCGCAGCCGCCGCTGTCCGGACCGGGCACTTGGTCTGCCTCACCAGGCTGAACTCTAGCTGCCTCACTCAGCTCCCCCAGCCTCGGCTCTCTTCCCGCTTCTCCGCACAGCGGCCACAGTGTGGCCGCCAGTCCACACCTGGCCTTGTCTGCTCTCCCCGTCGGCCTTATCACAGCTCCCCAGGGTCCCTAGCACAGGACACGTGACTGGTCCCCAGTATCTTTCCATCTTCACTGCCCACCTCGCAGGAGGGGCGGCCTTTGTAGTCTTTGCTTTCAATGGGTCCGTGCTGTTTCCTGCACGGGCACCATCTTCCTCCATCCCTTCCAGCGTACTCATCTGACTTACTGCTACTCACCGCTAAAGCCAAACTCAGGGGTGACCTCCCCCGGAAACCTTCCTTGACATGCTTTTGCCCTACCCCCACTAGCCCCTCTGCTGGCTTCAGTGGCTCTGAATGCCCTTGAACTTCTCCCGGTAGATTGAGGTTGCTTAGGGGCTGTTCTCCTCCATCACATGGTGCACTCCTTGAGGGAAAGGACCAGGTCTCAACCACAGTGCAGACAACAGGGCCTGGCACAGAACACGTGCTTGGTGATTGACAGCCCTTAAATTATGATTACAAGTACTACCTTACCTACCTATCTTCCCGCTCAACAGGAGAGCTTGTCACCATCTTATTTTTCTTTTCTTTTTCCCAAAGCCCATGCATTCTAGGTCTGACACATGTGTATCTTTAAACACCCCCTCCACCACCACTTGAGAATTTAAAGCTAAAAACCAAACAAACATTAATCTTTAAACACTTTCTTTTCCAAAAGCCACATTACCTCTTTGCCAAAAGTTTTGAAAACAGAAGACAAAAACAGTCCGCACGGACAGAACCATTATTTGTATCTTAGTGGTTTGTTTGTTTTTAACCACGCATCTGTGTTTAATATTTTTTAGATTTCTGTAATTTTGCCGCAGCTACAGATTAGCCGTTGGGTTTTTCACGTAACACGTAAGAAACAAACACACGTCCTTCTCAATCGGAGAGGCTCAAATGCTGATGAAACCAAAGTGTTGGCTGTGCCGGCTGAGCGAGTGCTTTTGACGAGTGTCCTTCCGGAAGATGGTGACTGTGCATCCGATTGGAGTCTTGGCTGCTGTTAAGCAGGTAGAAACATATTTAAATCATCTTCATTTCCTTTTTCGGGTAGAAATCTTTTATCAGCAGGGTGAGACGTATTCCTGGGAATACTTTTCATTTTTTATTAATAAAAAAAACAACGACAGAGATGGGAGGGGAGGGTGTGCCTAGTTCAATTTGTCATCCCTTGCCTTTTCTTCCTCTTCAGAGTCAAACGCAGGGCACGGCAGAACACCAGCTCTTTGGCGGGTCAGAGGTGACCTGCCAACAGGCTAGCGAGGATCCCAGATGGCAGGGATAGAGATGGAAATAAGACACTGGCTGTAGCTACCTCACTCTTGTTATGTGACAAACACCAATACATTGCTCTTTGCATAAGCCATTTGAGTCCGGGTTCTCTTACTTGCAGCTGCAGGCATTCCTAACAGGCGAGAGGGTCTCACTGAATAGGAAGAGTGTGTGAAGCATTAGTGGTTGGCAAACTATGGCCGTAGCATCCGGTCCCCAGTCTGTTTTTATAAACATCTTATTTAAATCTTCTTTAGTTCCATAGGCTAAGAGGATGGTGAGTTAGGTTCCCAACATTTACGGGAGACAAAATATGACCGGTAGAAAGAAAAGCAAGCCGTGTCTGGATTGAGGCTCTTCCTACAGAGGAACAGCAGGTCGTTTCAAACCGCCAATCTTGCAATTCGCCCAACGTAGAACACTATGCCACCAGTGTTCCTCATTGCCTACAATAGGTCCTATACTGCTTTTCCTCATCCTCAGGGTCCAAGTCCAGCTTCCCCACTGAAGCCCCTGATATGTTGGCAGAAGGAGGGGAGACCTAGCTTTCACAGACCTGTGGTGAGCTTGAGTGATTATCTTTAGGCTCCCACAGCAGTTCTACTAGGCTGAGGCATTTAAAGACATGAGGAATACTGGCAGATGAACCGAGACCCCAGAGGCACACTTACTCCCCAGCGCTCTGGAGGTCTGAAGGGACTTCCTTGAATGACTACACCCCCCAGAAGGGAAAATAGGGAGTGGTTGTGTGTTGGGCTGCCAATAAGAAGGTCAGCAATTCGAAACCCCCACGGGAGAAAGATGAGGCTTTCTACTCACATAAAGAGTTACCATCTCAGAAACTCACAGGGGATGTTCTCCCCTGTCCTGGAGGGTTGTTGTGAGTCGGAAACAACTCGATGGCAGTGTGTTTGAGGGTTTGGGGTGTGATTTCTGGCCTCAGGTGACATTCCTGATTTGTGTTGACTGACACAGAACACCATTATTTGATTATTTATGCCTGACTGCCAATATAAACCGGACCTTCTTGGCAAAGCCTTGCCAGCTCAGCTGTCTGGAGCTTGCATAAGCTGGAGGGGCCTCCGTGCACACGGGTTGCTTCTCAGAGTAGAAGGGTGGTCGTGGTGGGGTCTGAAAGCTGCAGCAGGGCTGCTGCCTACTCTGAGTCTCTGCTCCATCCTGGGGCTTCCAGGCCCACTGACCCGAATAGACCATCCTGAGCCCCGGTCACCACCAGGAGGCCATGACTTCTAAGTCTTCTGATTGGCAGGTGAGTGTTAGCTACTTTTGTTCCAACAAGACCAGGTTTCCTGGAGTTTAAGTGAGGTGACCAGTTGGCTGATGATGCCAACCTGGGGTTACTATACTCGTGGTCATTAGAGTAATTTTATGACAATTATCGATGTTATATAGAGATCGAATGAGTATAGAGAGTTAATTAGGTTTAATGATAATTATAGTATCTGTTTATCTAGACGAGGGAGTAAGTCAAAAAGCATTGCTACAAATCATTCAAAACTTTTACTAAACAAAAATATCAGCATGTGAAGTTATTGGTTTTGTTTTTGGATGACCTTTTATCTCGAGCTATACACCTCGCGAAGAATTGTGCACTCTTTGATTTACACCACATCACAAGAACAGCTTAGACTTCCTCAAGGGCTCAAATTATGTTTCTTATAAATGTTCTTCGAGTTTCAGAACAAAAATATGTCTGAAAGGGCAAAATCAGGGCTGTAGGGTGGATCGGGAAAGGTTTCCCAGTGAAATGCTTGTAGTACAGCACAACTTTCTGGGCATTTTTCTCACCACTAGCAGCTTTCCATTTGCTGAAAAGTTCTGCATAATACATCGCCATCATTTTACTGTGTCTTTTGAGAAAAGTTATCAACATTATCCCCTTGCAATTCCTCCCTCCCCCACTCCCGCCAAATTAAGTCACCATTACCTTCTGAGCTGACCTCTCTGCCCTGAATTTAACAAGCCCAGCAGATTCCCCAGGAAGCCACTGTTTTGATTAGACTTTTTTGGGAAGGTTCTCTACCATATTGAGACCAGAATATGATTGAGAGAGCTTGTCTGCAGCCCTCCACTGGTCATAGACACACGTCTAAACACACGTTATTGAGAATAAACTGGAGCCCTGGTAGCAATATTTTTTACTTACCCACAGAGCCATGGAGTCAATCCTGACTCATAGTGACCCTACAAGTCAGAGCAGAACTATCCCTGTGGGTTTTTGAGACTATCACTTAAGACATTTAAACATTTTTAGAAATTAATCATTTTATTGGGAGCTCTTACAGATATTATAACATTCCATAGTTCAATCACATCAACCATTAAACAATGCTACCACAATAAGTTGCAAACCATTTTCTTTCTTCTTGAACTCCTTGATATCAGCTCCTCCTTATCCACTCCCTCTTCCACCCAACCCCCCAGGAACCCTTATTATTTTCCTTATAATAGCTTTCCACCCCCACCCCCCCACATACCTTACACAATCCAGTATATCCATTCACATTCAATTCTGTTGTTTGATCCCAGTGAGTGGGGTTATACAGTCAATACTATCCGCTCTCTATTCCACTCTTACTCCTACCCTCTTCCCCTACCCTCAGGAAACCATTACTTCCGTTACTATTTCTGAAGTGTTATCTATCTTGGCTTTCATGTGCCAAATGATCTTAAGTACACAAATGCACATACACAAATCTAACACGATTATTGTGGTAAAACAGATAAAAACTGTTGTAAGGGAAGGAAATATTAAAGAACTGGAGGATAGTTTATGTGGTTCATCAGTGCTGTACCGAATCCTGGCTTTATCATCCCTTCCCTGTGCCCTGCTGAGAGGGACTGTGAGACTATCACTTTTTATGGGAGTATACTCTGCTTTCTCCCTTGGGACAGCTGGTGGGTTTGAACTGATGACCTGGCAGTTAGCAGCCCAATGCATTAACCCATCATGCCACCAGGGCTCCTTTTTTCATTTATCCTTGCATAAATAAAGGTATCTATAATTATAGATAATAATGAAACCCAAATCCACTATTGTCAAATCAATCATTATTTTTTAAATCATTTTATTGGGGGCTCATACAACCCTTATCAAAATCCATCCATCCATCCATTGTGTCAAGCACATTTGGACATTTGTTGCCATTATCATTTTCAAACATTTTTTTCTACTTGAGTCCTCGGTATCAGCTCCTCATGTTCCCCCTCTTCCTCCACTGGTGAAGTCAATTCTGACCCACAGCACCCCTGGGGACCAGTGTGGAACTGCTCCGTCTTGTTCCCCAGGCTGTGAGTCTTTATGGAAGCAGACTGCCTCATCGAGCTCCTACAGAGCAGCTGGTGGGTTCAAATCACCTTTTCAGTTAAGCAGTCCCACTTATCCCACTGTGCCACCAGGGTCTCTAGAGAGTAACCCTCAAATCAAATCCACCGTCATAGAATCAATTCTGACCCAGTGCTCCTTAGCATTTCCAAAGATATAATAAATATGTATGGGAGAAGAAATGTTCATCTTTCTCCCTCAAAGCAGTTGGTGGGTTTGAATCTCTGACACTGCATTTAGCACCCCAGTGCATAACTCACTGGGCCATCAGGGCTTCTTAGATAATAATAGATATCCTTTTTTGAATGCTCACTCTGTGCTAAGGGCTTACCATTCATAATCTAATTAATTACTCTGATACCTTTATGAGGCAATTTCTATTATGATCCAGGGTCAGATCACATTTCCATCCAACCCAAACCAAACATACTGCCATCGAATCTGACTTGCGGTGGCCCTATAGGGCAGGGTAGAACTACCCCAGTGGGTTTCTGAGACTATAGCTCTTTATGGGAGTAGAAAGCCTCATAGTTCTGCCACAGAGCTGCTGGTGGTTTCAAACTGCTGGCCTTGTGGTTAGCAGCTTAATGCATAACCACTCTGCCACCAGGGCTCCTCCACATTTCCATAGGCAACTTCGATTTCCTCTATCCTCTCTGCTCTTCCTCTATGTGATCTTGTTCCTGCCCCATCGAGAGTGGCATTTCTTTCTCTCCTGCTGTGGTAGATATATAACCGTTTGTCATATTTCAGGATTAAGAGTGAAAGGGTAGAGTCTAGCTTGTCATCAGATCATAGCCAATGAGGCTTCTGTGTGGGCATGGCCTTCTCCTGAGAATTCTGGGAAATCCAGTACTTCCTCCTTGGAGGCAGGAGCCACTTCTCTCTCTGAGAGACATTGCAGCTGACAAGACACATGGAACTATGCTAGTGCCCTAAGTTGGAGAAGTCACATGGACCTACCCTGATGCAACCAGACCTCTGGAGCAGAGAAGCCATGGATCCAAAGACTTTTTACCCACTGGCCTGTGAGCTTCTACATTTGGGGTCATTGAATGTGTTCCGTGGTCTGAAGAGGACTTTATAGATTGGTATCGGACATGTGGGCTAATATCGGACTTATGGACTTGATCTGGACTGGGCTGGGATATTTTCTCTCTCTCTTTTTTTCTTTTTTAACATTTTATTAGGGGCTCACACAACTGTTATCCCAATCCATACTGGGATATTTTCTCAATGTTCAAATGCTCTTGTATATATAAATCTCTTTCTTATACACATGTGTGTGTCCATGGATTTGTTTCTCTAGCCTACTCAGACTAACACACCTGCTGAAACGGGGCTGGTCATATGTGTGCTTTGGCCAGCCGAATGTAGTATCAGTAATGCTCAAGCCCAGGTAAGAGCAGACTTTGTAGCATTTTGTTTCTTTTGAGGGAAGCCAGATGCCCCAAACAGAAACCCAGTTACTATAAGATCCTTCTGCCATGATGCCCGAGCAAGCTACATGGAGAGAAATGAAGACAGGGGTGGGGAGAGAGGTGCACAGCTGAGTCATGAGACTTGTGGGCTGAAGAAGTCATCCTCACATGTTCCAACCCCAGCAGAAGCCTGCCCAAATTGCAGAATGATTGAAGGAAAGGGCCTGGGGGTCAGTGAGATGCTTTTGGCAACATAGGGTGAAAAAAGTTGTTTCTGAGGAGAACCATCCAGAAGCTCACTGCAGTTCACTTGATGGCATACCATGGTTCTAGGGGGAGGAGGGACTGGTGGGTTGGTCTTGGAGGAGACTTAGGGTGGGACAATGAGATGAGGACGGATGGGGAGTGGTGGAAGAGAGCGAGCAGGACCTTTCAAGCTTTCGTATTTCAGTCTCCCTAAGACTGAGGCTGTTCAAGGAAGCTGACGTGGTCTCAGGAAAGAGGGTCTCTGGCTCTGCTCGACTCCAGACAGTCTTAGGTGCACAAGGATTACACGAACCAGCGCCTTCACCTCCTCCCACTTGTGCCCGCAAAGCTTGTGGCTAGAAGCAGTACAGATGATCCCCTAGAGGGGGCATCTGGCATGGTATTGGGCATCTGGCATGGTTTTGGACCCCAGCATTGGATGACTCAATAAACAAGGTACGTACAGGCTTATTTGGGCTTACTTCATAATCTGTCGTGAATGATTTCATATGTTTTATGCCACATCAAAGATTCTGCTTTTGGGTTTGGCTGGTCTCTGCCTCTCCTCCAACGCCATCGCACCTTCTACAGAACTAAAGCCTCCCTTCATATTGACAACCCCTGATAGGGACGGTGTGGTTAAAAACAGGCTTCTCTAGCTCCTTGGGCCATTCACCTCTGTGGACACCCTACTGGAACTTCAGTCCATTTCAGAGCTCAGAGAGCGGCTTGCTGCATGGTTGTTATTAATACTGCAAGATGAGTCTGAGGAGCCTGGGTTCCCAGAAGCACAACCTGAGACAGGGGTTCCAGGGAAAGGGGGCACAAGGCAGAAGGAAGGCAGTATAGAATCCGGGCAGGAGCAAAGCTAGAAGCGTGACAGTGGTCAGATTCAACGGAGCACTTTGGAGTGTGAATTGTACCATAGAACTGGCTCCACTTTGAGGCAAGTGGTCTGGGCTTTTAAATACCCCCAGCAGTTAGTCAAAGGAGCCCAGTGGCACAGCAGTTAAGCACACTGCAGTAACCAGAGAATCAGCAGTTCAAATCCACCAGCTGCTCTGATGGACAAATATGTGGCAGTCAGCTTCTGTAAAGATTACAGTCTTGGAAACCCTGTGGGCAGTTCCACTCTGTTTTAGAGGGTCACTATGAGTTGGGATGATTGTACTGGTACTAGCAAAAGGTTTAGTTTTGAGTCAGTCAGTCATTGGCTGAGGGCAAGGAACGGGGCCTAACTTCTTGGGCAGGTGTTTTCTGTTTGGCTGGGAGCAGGGAGAAGGGCAGCTGTGGGTCTCTAGTGCGCAACATTCACAGCAGCCTGACAACATTCAGGTGCAGCCTGTGTGTGCTGCACTTGCTGTGCTTCAGTGTCCGATGTTCTTTGGGTGACAGAGGAGTTTTAGATCTCAAGGCAGGTGGAAACTGAGGCACCTTGCAAACGATGACCCATATGACTAGAACCCATAGACCCCAATGGTTAAAATTGAAACCAATCCACTCACCAGGGCTTGCAAGGATTCCGTCTCGGCCCGGAGACTCTGCACTTGGCTGGTAGTGTCGTGTAACTCCACTCTGAGGGCAGTGGCCAGCTTCGCTTCTTGGCTCTGGGCCATGTGAGTCCCCTCCACATGTTGCTGTGGGGATTCAGATCTCAGTATATAGCCTGGTACATGAGTCAGGAGCTTCCATCCTGCCCTGTCCTCTCCTCTCTTCTAACCACCACTCCACCACCTCTGCTTAAGGAGAAACATATCCAGCAGATTGATTTAAAATCCCTCTTTTTCTATAGACCCCCTCATCAACTAGTAAACAATATTTATTAATTTGGGGTAGATGATGCATGTAAATGAAATACTATTGAAAAGGCTTCCTAAAGAACACAGACTAGGAAACCTCCTTCCCTTCCTATACCCTAATAACCGCCTTCTCTGGTTTCCAGCTTCCTGTACCTCCTTCCAGAAATATTTAACATCTTTACAAGCGAAGAGAGCGAATCATGTCCCCTTCCTAGGATCATTTAATCTTAGAAATGATTTTATTTCAGTATGTAGACATCCATTGCTTTCTTTTAAAAATTGTTGCATCGTATTGCCTTGTCTGGAAGTACCGGCATTGATTTAGAAGTCCCCTGCGGACGAACACTTAGATTGCTTCCCTGGCTTTGCCTTTCCCTATGTTACAATAACAATCCAACAAAGAGCCTCATGCATTCCTGATTCCCCGCCCCCCCCCCCCCCCCCCCCCCCCCCCCCCACACGGAGTGTTTCTGTAGGGCAAGTTCCTGGGGAAGAAAGGCTGAATCAAAAGGTGTGCATTTATCATTTTGACAAAGAACAGACAGAGAGCTCTCCACAGAATGTGGAACTCCTTCCAGCCCTGTAAGAAAGTGCCCATTGCCCCACACTTCCCTCACATAAGGAGTTATCTTATTTGTTCATCTCTGCCATTTCTTTCTGAAAACCAGTCTGGCTACATTGTGAATCCAAGGAGAAAGGCTATGGCTGCAGCCTTCTCCCCAGAATGAGGTGGGGTGCTTCTGATTCCTCCGAGCACACACAACAGGCAAGGGGAGCAGGTCATGGTCACCCCCTTTCTTTGTGGGGGGTAGGAGAGCAGGAGAGGCCATGGTCATTTTATTTACTGCCGTCTGATGGGATATCTACGAGCCAGTGGACTAGGGGACAAAACTGCTTCCCTTCTTAGAATCTTCTGGTGAACCCGGCTTTATAGAGTTACGCAAAATTAGTCCAATCTAGCCAACAGGTTAAGAAACCACAAGTTAAGATGTTCCTATCGAAAGGTGGTTCTTCCAGCCTTTGCTGCTTAAAGCACAAACAAACCAATAAGCAAACCGAAATCCCAGTTGTTGAGTTGAACCTGACTCATGGCAACGGGTTTTCAGTGGCTGCTTTTTGGAAATAGATTGCCAGGTCTTTCTTATTCTTATTCTTCTTTTTAAAACATTTTATTAGGGGCTCATACAACTGTTATCACAATCCATACACACATCAATTGTGTAAAGCGCATTTGTACATTCATTGCCCTCATCATTCTCAAAACATTTCCTCTCCACTTAAA